GAGATTGAATAATCCTGAGGTCGTAGTGGTATCCGAGTCCCCGATCCGCCGTGAATGCTAGCGGGAGCCCGGTCCCTGAGACGGTTTTCATCGCAACACTGAATTACATGTGCCGAATAACCGAATGTAGGTGTATTTTGAATGAGCAGGTGAATTATTTGCAGAGTGAACCTGTTGCCGGTGGAGCGACGCGCTGCCCTCTTCAGTTTCTTGATTGCTACCACGCAGCAGCGAAACACGAAGCTGGCTTCCTGTTCTCGCGGGCTGTGATAGGCTAGGGCAAAACGTCCCGTGGGCAAGGCCCTCGCTCCGGCCAACCTCATCGTCGGATCGATCACGCGAATCGTCGTATTGGGCCAATCCGGCATAGCGAGGCCTCCTGTATTCTCGAAGTCTCTGTATCTCGCGAGAATCGGTTTCCTCGCCATCTCCAATTCCCATGAGGCGTCTAGTGTTGAACATGCTTGTTTCCGGATGACCCCTCGACTTCCCCTAAGCACAGGAGTCCTTCGATGACGATTATCGATGTCACCATGTCATTATCATCGATACTCTTTCTTTTTTCCCCGGGATCGCTGCATGTCTAACTTATCAGTGTATTGATATTCTTGTATACGAGGTGCTCGAGCACTCGAGCAAACTTCAGTCATGAGCTGCCGCTGAAATACCACTGGTCCTGGAGCCGTCCAGCTTCATGATGTCCACAGTGACCCTCCACCATCATCCCTCCAGTAGGTGCTCCACTCTTGCCAGGGGATCGAGTCCTGCTCTTTTCATCAGGAGCTGTGAACGGTAACCACGTTCAGGAGCCCCGGCGGAAGTCGGAGATCCCCCATTCCACGAGCTGTTCCCATCCGTAATGAGAGAAACTCGTTGCCCTCCCCTCTCACTGCTCCACTGGGGTCTGTTGTTCTTCGGAAAGCTCGCTGGAGCACATGCGTGATCGGACTTCGACCTCCTGTCGCCAGTCAATACTCCCTTGTAGAGGTAAGCTCCAAGATTTCTGTCTCTGATAATTCTCGTTCCGAAAGTGTTATGATTGTTTTGACGATTTGGATCATACTATTTCGAGAAGTCCACCGGGTTGACGGTACATTCAAACGCTATCAGTCGAGTGCCCAGGGCCGTCTGGAGGAAAAAGCTGGAACTATGTTGACAACCTCACCGGGATAAAGTTTCAAGTTCAGTGGGCACCTTTCCAGATCACCTGTGTTTCCTAGTCATCCACCATGAGTGGCGAGTGGTGATGCTGAGGAGCTCGAAATCGGCCGAACGGAATCGCGGCTAGGATCGACCCCCGTTAGAAACTTGCAGGGCGTGGGCCCCTTCCGACGCCACGGGGCGAAAAGCGATCATCCCCGATCGGAATTCACCCGTGAGAAAGGTCACTGTCAGACCCATTTTATCGAGAATCACTCGATCAGTTTTCTCCGGGGAGAATACCGACCATTGCATTGCTTCGGTTATTCTACAAACTAGTCTGGAGACAGATCACATCAGCGCAGGAGTGTGCGCTTCCACAGTTCGTACGCAGCACCGTATATATTCGCGGGAATTCCGCTGCGGAAGAGGTCGCGAATTTTTTCTTCCCAACCCGATGGAATCGTATTCGAGGAGCTAGTTCTCATAAGCCAGAATTCCCGTGAGCCAGAGTTCGCCATTCCCCGATCGCTGCCTGACCACAGAAAAATGAAGCTGCATCTCAGGTCTGGATCCTCGCGAGAGTGGCTGCGGCTCTGGAATTGGAACTGAGGCCCAACCTCTTGAACGATCGTTTGATCCGCCTGACGAATGAGTTTGAGACCGGAGCGAAGACTCTGATGGGATACACTTTCAGCGTCGCTTTCAGTTCTAATAAGTAGAAATTGTAAGAGATGACTCCAATAATATAAGTTCCCCTTTGTGAGCGGAGTAGGGATGCAATGCATCCGTGGAACGAAGTGATTGTGATCCTTTCTTCCAGTGAGCTTGAAGGTTCATCGAAGATTAATGCATGGGGGCCCCGCCCGCAAGTCAAGCTGGGCTTTGCGTCGAGGTGACAAAATTCCGACCAACCTTGAGCCAATGTTCCAGCCTTCCGGCCTCAGAAATTTCTGGCTCCTGGCTTTTGCGATTGTTGCTTGTGAGACGGTATTATCGGTGAGATCGGCGACAATATCTTTTTTTCGCGGAGCTCCGAGGCCGCATTGCGCTCGGTGACTCGGGCATTCACTGATGTCAATGAAGTCGCTCTCCGTGCGTAGCTTCGTTGCCCTCTAAGATGGCGAGTTCACCGTCGCAGCGAAGATGGTCGTCGCAGTTTCTCCTCCTCCTCTTCCTCGTTGCCTGTCCGCTACGGCGATCGCCGCTGCTGCCCTCTAAACCTTCTCACAGCCTTTTGGTTGTGAATCTCAGTCGTGGCCAAGCGGTGGGCTTTGGCAGACCGCCTCAAGTGCTCTTCCTATTCCACATTACAGTGGCTGCTACCGGCCCCACCTCGCAAGGGCTCCCGCCCGGAATCCAAGGTGAGCGACACCCGCGAAAGACAATCACAATCACAATCCCTCCTCGATTCGATGGTCCCGAGCCCCGCGCGCGATCCCAGGGCGAATAGTTGTCGAACCAAATCCAACTGTCAAACGCGAAGCGTACTCTGGAGCAGAACCGACATTTAGATGTATCGTCTCTGGGAATGTGGGTGAGGTCAGCTCACGTTGTTGGGTAGCTTCCATTCCCGAGAATCACGTGATCGTAAGTCAGACGATCGGTGCGTCTGCGTGGGGAGATCCGAGGGAAAAGAGTGTAGGAGCAGAACTGTCGATCAGATTGGAAAATCTCCGGCATAGTTTTTGCATACGTCATTTCCGAAAATAGATTCTAGATACAAAACGAACGAGACGAGGGAAATTGCACGTTCATCTCGCTCGCAATGAGTCGAGGTTTATTTTCAGAATGGGCATCTTGGCGTTTGCCCAAGTCTCCTTCTACGAGCAATAGTAAGCCCGTGCCGGCAGATACGGGACGGTCAAGCTTTAAACAAGGATAACATTGAGTCAGTACTTCAACAAAACAATATATTCGCGTTCGCTCCTCCTCGGGGGCGACGATATCATTTGCGGCGACTCCTCTGGAACGTGGATCGAAAATGCTTTTGTGAACTCCTCTTCCGAAGAATCTCGTCATAATTGGGGAGCTTCTTCGAGGGAGAAGCTCTCCCAGGTTGCATCAGAGTTCCAATAGACAAGAGACCGACCGCTTGTCACATTCGCGCATCGCTAAGGAGGAAGACTCTTGTTGGAAGCAGTTCAGGGTCACTCGCAGAGGGCGCTAACCTACTTGAGTTTAGTCGCCATTCGTCTCGGGTCTGACGTCGAACCGAGAACGTCATTTAAATTCTGGAGAGATCGATAGTGGAAAATGAAGCTTCTCGAATTTGTCCCCCGACGGTATATTGTGATTATCGTTCCAAACGTAAAAGTAAGGAAAGAGGAACCCGTCTCGCTGGCGCCTTCCTCGCCCGAGAGATCCACGCCAGTTGGCTTTTTGCCGCGCTTCCAGGGGACTTGTCTTATCCTTCGGCGTAGAATAGCACACTTAACCGCGACCAATCCTATCTCATCATCGGAACAATACACTCATTCACAACTAGCCCGAAAGCAAATCAAAAGGGGGAAACCGAAATCCCGTGGTGCTCGTTGAAATGGACTTCTAAGCGCGGATTCCCGTGCGGGCTCTCCCAATGTGGCTTTCCCAAGAGCGGAGTCGTATTTCATGTACGGAGTTCCCGTCCTTTCGGGACCATTCGAGTATCTCGGATCAATCCAGAGAGCTTATTCAAACGGACTCAATGTCCATGAATAGGAGGCTGAGCTCCGGAAAACTTTTCCGAATTCAAACGTGATTTGCTTGCGCAGGTCGTCGTTCCTCTGAATGTTTTCCAGAATATATGTACATACAAGCAGCCGCGGAGAACTACAAACGGCTCATTGAGGATGGTCGAAGAAGAGTACCGGTGGTGAGCATTGTTCGAGTTCCTCTGTGAGACATGTGCGTCACGAAGGACTCCGACACCGGCCGAGATCAGTCAGCCCAAAGAAGCTGAGGTCCTTTGCGTACTTGGGACCTGGGATGAATAGATAGATGGACAGATCGAACGTACGTCGGGAGCGTTCATTCGATGCTGCCCGGGTACTGCTTTCATCACGAATGCGGCCCCGACAGCTCCTAATTGTCAGTCGTCGTCAAATCAGTCGCAGAGCTGGAAACTGTGCCCAACAAAGCTACCCAAAAGATTTGTAGAGCTTAAGCTCGCAGTACACTGAGCCGAGGACCACCATTGGGCATGGATCTGAGGCGGCACACGAGAGTACACACGCGGTATGAGCTTGATGGGTTCATCAACCGGCAAACACTATCTCTAGCGACAACGCGCGAGAATCGGCTGAGTTTGTCACACGCTCGTAACTCGAACGGCATCACTAACAACAATGACAGCGAGGCAACCACTCCGATGTCAATGGAGTCGCCACTTGCTCCCTCGAGAATGCTCGGAAAAGAGGTTGGGCATTCACGAAGCTCAGCTTCTGGCTACAGGTTGCGTGGGAGATACTGAGCTCATTGAATCGATTTATGGTGTCGCTCATGATTTTTTGCTCTTCACGTGCCCGCGGGCGTAACTCACGGAAAACGGAATGACGGTGGAACAAGACAGCCATCTTCGCTAAATATAAGCACTCAGGCGATGAGATAATATTCCATGTCGCTGCGAGGATTAACAAGTACCTATCGCTGACCTGACACCACCATTTTTTTCTAGAAGATCATGAAAGAGAGAGAGGTAGTGGCCAGCTCGCTCCTGTCAGAGCTCGGAATGAAAGGGTACCCGCTGAGGAGGCTCATTTTTGCGGGAGCGTCCGGAGGAGGTTTCCTAATTATTGAACGTTGAGCGTCTCGATCGTGCAACATGACTCCCTGACGTCGAGCGTCCCCAGGGACACATTGTGTATGTTTTGGAGAGACTCGGGTCCCTTGTTCGGTCCGGCGGATGAGTGTTTCGAGCGTTCATCTGGCCAAGGTAATCCAAGTCGGGCCGGAGGTCTTCTGACAACGGTGTTGTCAGCGGGGAGGTCGTTCGTTGTCGACGCCGACGACTCTTCTCGGTTCTCTTGATGGTTGCTGCCCATGTCCGGTCAGCAGCAGTCAGGTGAGCGGAGTCTCTAATCGAATTGATCACTGAATCCATTCATTCTGTTCGAAGATTGGGATCTCGAAAGAGGGATGAGATGGCATTGGAACGAGACCAAGATCTGCTAACTGCTCGTTTAATCTACTGAGAAGCTGCACACGCCGAAAGGTGCTCCATAATCGTGAAAGTGAAAACTAGTCCACGATGGAGAGTGCTGGCTGAGCCAGAATCCGAGAGTTGGCCCCTGATGATTTTCTCTCTTGTATCGAGGGCACCAGCATTCTACTATCTTTTTGGCAGTCTAAACGGAGATTGGGCGTCCGTATCAGGCTTTTTCCATGAAGGAACATCCGACCCATCAATCGCTATGCGTACGCAAAATACGGCTCGGGAATAGCATATGGAATTTTGACTGGCGTCCAACGTCAGGCGCCCAGGGGAGCTGCTTCGAACTGGCCTTGTCTATCAAAGCATTCACACTCGCAGACGCTATATTTAGATATATTCCCCTCAGAAATGTGATGATAGCTCCAATCGGTTAATCCTTGATAGCTGGTATCAGGAGGCTGCTTGTGGGTAATCGTACGTGTGCGTCTACAGCACGCAAACATGGAGTAGACTCTCGATGAAACTCCGTCTCGTGGTGCGGTGCTGTTCCTTCCCCTAAACTTTCTGGAGGCCCAGATTGCGAGAATGCTCCTGATGATGGATAGAGACATCCTCCAAGGTAACGAGCCCAAAATTGTCTCCGAACGTTGCGGAATAGTCGTCGTTATCGCAAAGTAAATTTTTTCGTCGATCGATGTATGAGAGGAATCAGAGGCGAAGTCCTGATCGGCTCTCGCTTCAAGCGGATTGTCACGCTGATCGCTGAAAGCATGCGGAGCCTCCAAGCAGAGCCTTCTCCTTCTTCTTTGAGTGAGATATGTGCTGCTCGGGAGACGCTCTGGTGCGCGGCAATCGTTCTCTCTAACAACCTTTCAATTTGTGCCAATATTCTATGGCACGATGCTATTCCGGGTCCAACATGACTCGACCAGTGCTTTTGTCTCCACATCCGTTTTCTGCGCATTTCCCCGCAATCGAAGTATAAAGAAGGCAGATTGGCGCATCGTGGCGAGACCTCTCGAGTGTCGTACCGACTCGAAAATTCTGAGCCGATTGAATAGCGATTCGTTATCACCGTTCGGACTCTACCCCAATCTCTAAATGACTTTCACCGTTTCGCTAAAGCTCACTCCGATTACGACCTCTTCTCATCGTCTAATTAAGGAAATCTAGATCCATCGAGAAGGTTCTCGATTTGTTCGAAGAGCACGATTCCCGGAAACCGGCGAGTTTATGAATTATTGCACCGATTCCGCTCCCGAACAATCTTCAATCTATTCTCCGAGCGTCTCCCGACCGAGCAAGTACGCTGCTGCAAGTACCACAATACAATCCCAGAAGATTTTTGCGACGCACGTTTTTGCGACTATCAAGGCCGATTCGGCGCCGAACCTTTACGACGCCCGACGCGAGGGTCGCTTCGCCCTCGTTAACGTGAAATAGTTTGCACACAGTGAGCCAGGTACAGGTTACATCTTGATCGTGAGTCATCATTACCGGTAGAAGCGCGAATCGGGACTGAAACCGTCATAATTAGACCTCTGCTCAGCGCAATCTGACTACGATCACCTCCGACGACAAACGCGATGGCAAACACTTGCACTCTGCTCATGATCGGGTTGAATGAACGTCGAGCCTGGTTGGCCGAATGTCAACAGAAACTGACAGACATTAAACGTATCCCGCACTCGTTCGCCGGATGAGTATTTTCCGCCCTTGACAGCGAGCCGTCGTGCTTCTAGAAAGCGTACGATCTCGCTCGAACGAATGGGAGTCGGCGCTTCTCCTCTCTCCGGGAGAGTTCGCGGACGGCATCTCGGCTCTCTCTCGGTCACTTTCTGATAGAGGCCTCATTTTCCCCAAATGTACACACACTGACTCAGAACGTCAAGCTATCGAGCGTTTGTTCCCCCTCATCCTGACGTCGAGCGTTCACCAACGAGTACTAACGCTCTGCCCCTTGTTCCTTTTCTCGTCGCAGGCGATTCCTCTCGAAGTCCTCCATCCGCCCAAGTCACCGACAACCCCAGAGTTCGTCGCCGTACAGGAGCGAACATGCCGCTCGAACTTCAAATGCGTCTGCCCCCGACGCCGCTGGCCACGTCTTCGCCGGCGGCGGCGCTCAGCGACATGTTCGACGTCCGCTTCCCGGCCCAGACGCACGACACCACGAGCATTTACATGGCCGCACAGCGACAACTCCGGATGCACAAGGAGCAAGTTCAGAGACGGTCGTCCACAAACGTTCCCCCATCGAAGAGCTGCCTGTCGAAATCAGAGCCGTCGTCGCCGACCAAGGTCAAGCGGAAGGTTTCGTTCGCCGACGACAAGGGCTTATCGCTCACGGAAGTGCGGGTGATGCAAAACGAGATTAACGAGCTTCCCCGCTGGACGCAGGCTTTCATCTGCCAGAATTTCCCCGCACGAGTAGAGAGCAACGTCGTGCAGACCTGGGACCCGCTATTCCCGCAGCCGGCTTCGGACTATTTGGCGTTCCGTAAGCGCATCGACGATCAGCTGGTGGCCCTCGAGAACGTGATCGTCAGGAAGGATGACGACCTGTTGACAGGAACAATCAAAGTGAAAAACATCACGTTTGAGAAGCATGTGTTCGTGAGAGCCACGTTCGACTCGTGGGCAAGCTACTGTGACTATCCGGCGATGTTTGTCTCGCAAGGTGCTTCCGCTCTGCCCGCCATGTTCGACACCTTCTCTTTCAGTATAAAGGTTCCGGCGTCCGCTCAGCGTTACGGCCTCATCGAAATCTGCATAGCGTATAAAACCCCGAAGGGCGAATATTGGGACAACAACAACGGCAAAAACTACAAGCTCGCATCGATTTCAAGACGGACATCGGACGTGACGACGACGCACGTCATGCCGGCCCCGCCGTTCATTCAGCCGAAATTCGCCTCAGCTTTCTCCAACTCGACCACTCGAGACTGGTCTGATTTCAGCAGTTGGAACCAGATCTTGTCTCAAGGGCCGTATTGGTAGATCCAGGCACGCGATCCGCGAAAAGTGATGAGCCCCCCTTCTGTGTGACGCGAGAGAGAGAGAGAGGGAAGAGCTCGTTCGGAAGTATCAACGATGGCAACAATAGAAGCAGCATCAGCAACGCAGAGGATGTCGACGACGATCAACGAATGTTATTTAGTGAATTCTACGAGAGACCTGTACTTTGAGGTAGTACACTGTTTGAATGCCCCGCGAACGCTTTTTTTCCAGCAACTGTTATGGAGGGGCTTCAGCATCTTACGCCTATTTCACACTCGGAACGACGCGAGAGCGAACTTTTACAAAGCGACGACCCGGACTCCGCGAAATAAAAATGCGACGACGACGACCTTGTTCGTGATAGTGAGTGTTTAGGAGAATTGGGCGTGCAAGGAGCGTCCATCGACTACTGAAGTCATACGAACGAGAATCATTCTGCCGGCCCGGAAATGAAAGCACGTGATCATGGACCGGAAGATATGGAGATGCTCTGCTCCCCGATGTCCATTCGATCGTAGGCTTAACTGTAAATATCTTGAATTGAGCGTCGGTATGAAAGTTGGTATGAAAGCTCGAAGAATGGATGTAGAAATGTAAATACACGATGTTTTACACGAACAAAGATCCGCGCACCCTTGAATTGGTAGATCGAATATATATTTTATTTATCGTAGTTTGGTCCCTCAAAGGTCGGAACACAACGAATATCAAATTCTCCAAACGATTGATTGATTGATTGTTGACTGATTGAGTTCCTGAAAACCTGATAGTTGCAATATTGTCCGGGAATGTGTGAGGAATATTTCCACTGCGCAGAACGAGAGGGAAGAGCTCTCGCAGAAGTCCAAAACCTAGTCTACGATATGGAATCTAGAAAAAATGATCTGCAAATTCTCCAATAAATACATGATGAATCGTGGGACGCTGGTGTTACCTCTAATAAAAGTTGGGATACACACTGTAGACTCAAGAATCGAGGATCTGGAGCTTTTCGAAAGTCGAATATCGCTCGAGCCGAACTTTCCTGGCCAATTACCGATGCATGTCCTGTGGAATTTCCAGCCGACGTTCTCAGCGAATCGTCGATCTTGATCGAATGCAGTCCTGCGTGTGTCGAGATACAGATAGCGAGTTCGAAACGTCGGAGATTCCCGTCTCCGAAACCTATCTTCGTCCATTCCGTTCAATGGTCTGGAGCTCTTGAGACAGCCTTTCGGGAGAGGTGAAGAGGCTTCCACCCGGTTCGATTGAAGGGACCCCGGAGTTTTCAACGCAGCTCGACGCGACTTCCGCGTCATATCCTCAGCAGTCCTTTCAGAATCGCGCGACACTGCGAAGCTCTTCCTGGGGCCAAGATTTTGTGACGGAGCCTGTTTGTCCCGATATGCTCGACAGCGTTTTTCCGCGCACGAAACTTGTTTTCATCGAGTTTGATCTCCACGGTCTTCTGATGGGCGAGAGGGGATTATGACTGCTTATCTTGTTTATTGTACGCAAGAACAAACTAATTGCGCCATTGAAAACCAAGAAGCGTTCCTCGAGATTTCGCGTGCTCTGGGCAGCGCATCGACCCGTGATCCGCGACACGGATTTCTGTGATGGTATTCGAAAGGGAGCTTTCCACGACGCCCTCCGTGCCGATCGCGAATCGCTCCTCTCGCCTAATCAGATAAATAACCGGGTGATTCGCGATCATGAAAGAAACTCCTCGAGCTGAGAGCCAAAATTGCTACGATGGATCAAGTCGAGTCCGATCCCGGACGACAAGTCTGCACGATTCTCACTCAGTCTCAGAGGAAACCGCGCTCCGAGAGCTCTCCAGCTGGAGACAACGGATTGCCAAGACGGCTTATCCAGTCGATCCCGAGGAATCTAGAGAATGTTTCGCTTCACACGAGATTCAAAGTACGGAGAGGGGGGGGTCCCCTTTTCTGCGTCCTGCAGTCGGCTCTGTGGTAAGCTTCGGCAACGTTCCGACCTGATCTCTCGTATCGCGCGCTCTGACTCCTGTGAATCTCGAGCTGGATCAGATTCCGAAGGAATGATGGGAAGGGAGGAAGGAAGGGCGAGATAGCCTTCCATGGAGATCCAGTTCCCCCACATTTTCGACGTAGAAGTACCGCGCTCAGATGAGCGCGGAGGAGCTGACTGCAAAATGCCTCACGGAGCCTCGAGCACCACGGTTCGGACGGGCCGAGACATGTGCTCGGAGATCCGTCCCTCAATCATCGGTTGCTCGGAAGGAATAGCGACCTCGATACTCCAGTGTTACCGTAGGGCATCAGCAGGTCTCCATCGGGGTTGCCGTCGGAGCTGCCCGGCTGCCGAATATGAGTCCGCGATCTCCCAGGAGAACAACCTCAGCATGGCGTATGCGGGTCGGCATGTCATGGGCGGAGCGGTCTGCACGCGCGGCCGTGCATCGGCAGATTTCGGAACGGTCGAGACTCTTTTTTCGAGTAATGAATCAGGGCACCACGTGGTATGAATATCGGGTGAATTATATTTATCTGAGGAGCATATAGACTTGCCCTCGGTCTTCGGAATCCTGTCTCTCGTATGCGATTGCGATAGAAAATTCCGGGATCGTCTATCGCCTTCACACGCTAACGCTCGAGAAGCCGATGCATATCGCTGTATGTTGTCATTAGTGGCAGAATCCTCATCAATCATGGACCTTCCGGAGATGGCGATAGAAATTAGTTCTGTCATCATTGATGCAACCATCGCACAAACCTGGTCCTTCAAAGTCAACGTTTGAGCTCTAGATGGCTCCATGAAAGTCAATCTATAGGGTTCGAGGATCGTATCAGAATGAGGTGTCGAGGAGAGATAAGGCAGACGCTTAAGGGAAATATCTCTCACCGTCGAGACCGCCTGCTAGATCGGATTATTCCCCGATTCGGCATACTGCGGAAGGTGACAGATTCCAAAGATTTTTTTCCGGCTCAAGCAAAATCTCCCCGCATACGCGATGTGCGGTTGCATCGGGGCCCATCATTCACCTTAAGTTTCCATCGTTCCCGGAAACCATCGAAAGGAGTCTCGAAAGACAGCGTCCTAGACGAAGGCGTTGTCAAGTCGAGTGCGGAGTAACGTATTTCTCCCTCCTCCCATCCCCTCTTCCAGCCATAATCTAAAGGGGAGCTTATTCCGGAAAACTCCATCAGAGAGGAGGAACTTCCCCCCGACAGAGTAACAGTTCTATTTAAGCGGATGGATAAAATATGAAGATCGAGAAGAATGAATCGATCGATGCTTAGCGAGGTCTCCGTGTTCTCGCCGTGGATCATTGCGAATGCTCAACGCTGCTTTTTCTCTGATGATTGAAGAGGACAGATCGCCGCTTATACCGCAAGCGACCAATCACGCAGTCTCTAGAGAATATCAGTGTGGGCCGGGGCGTGCTGAGAGCGAAAGATTCATCGACGGAGCTCAAGAAGCGCCGACACTTGGTCAACGATCCGACACCATGGCTTGAGCGCAGCAATCGGCACCTTCGGAGTCAAGCCTGGAGAGATGATGCTCTGAGGAAGCCATCGGCATCCGGCCTAGTTGGTATTCAGCGTCTCCGCAGGAACTAATTTCGAGGCATTTCTCGACGCTCTGGGAATTGAGGAGCTCTGATTCCGGGAGTGAATGTTGGAAGAGCTCGAATCCTCTTCGCAAATAACCCTTAGGAATTCTTGAGCCGTGGGAATCCCCGAGGCGATCGAGCAGACATCATCTGTTACTACACCTCATCCTTCCCGAGGTCCGCAGGCGCCGTCTTCAAGGAGCAAGCGCAAGTGGAAAAACGGAGAAGCAACTCGAATTATGGCTCGTCGGAGCGTGACGCCGTTCCGAAGACGTGTGAGCCCTCGATATCTGATGAGTTGCTACCAATAATGATGCCGATACGTGAGAAAAGAGATTTATTTTCTTAATTCTTTTTACAGAAACTCTCGTCAAGCGAGCCGTACGCTTCGTTACCCGGCTTCGGAAAGATTCTTTCAAACAACGAACTCTCTTCAATTCTTCACTTAATATCATTTTTCACTTCGCGTCGAGCTCGCCCTCCTTTCGTTCGTCTATGTATTTATTATTAGGAAAATATTTTACAGTCAATTATGATTTGTTGCTGTGCCCGTAGACTCGTTCCTATGTCTCAAAGATCGTCTTCGTCTTGGTTCTGGGCTGACATCAGTGTCGGATAATTCATCACCAGGTTCGTTGGCGGCAACTGCCTCCAGACCTTCAGAGGGCTCTTCTTCTGGTCCTGAGTGGTATTCGGTCGCTTGCTCCTCGACATTAGCAGCAGCAGCAGATGCAGTAGCAGAAGTTTCACTGGGTTTTTCGCTTTTCGAAGACGAAGCGAGATGACTAGCACGCACTCTCCAGAGGGAGCTATTCGGCAACAGAGTGTTGAGTAAGAGATTCTCAACAAACTGAGCGCGATCGGGACCCACAGATCTCGAGCTTCTTCCTTGTTTGGAACTCCGCGCTCCTCCCTCATTCAAATATCTGGCCAACAAAAACTGTGAGCTTCCCGTGCCGTTATCAGCTGCACCGAAAGCGCCCTGCCGGTCACCGGGCATGATCCCTGCGACTCCCCCAGCCAACGATCCAATCGACATCGAAGGATCCAGAGAGTTGTGGTTACCGAGGCTGGCTCGAGACGGTCCTCGACGAGGAATCTTATCGAGCTGCTGCCGGCTCATCTGAGGGTTCTGCCGGTCCATCTGGAAGAGCCAATTGATTTCTATTGTTAACACCCCTTAGCTCCATACCCCACTTGTGTACCTGGCACACATCCCTCCTCGAATCCCTGATAACGACGATCGTCCACTGACCTGCATTTGCAGCTGCTGGATGGTGTGTTGGGCAGATGAATTCTGACCATTGTGGTTTCTTCTTCCCGCAGCTGTGAGTTGCGATAAGATTTCGGTAATGGATTCCATCGTCGATTCCCGAGGTGACAAGGGGGCGGAACCGAAAGGCATCCTCCGAGATGCACCTCGGGGTAGACCCCCGCTGCTGCCGGCACTGCCGCGACTTGTCGCGCCGCCTCTCAGAAGCATTCGTCGACTCTGAGTGCAAATTGAATCACCGATGAGAATTATCCTAAAGTCTCTTCTGATGGCTCCCGGGAAACAAAGAGAGGAGCAGGGAAGCAGGATCGCATAATGGAGCGAGATGTAGTACCTGTTGCCGGTCGTGCGGTTCCGAATGAGGGTCATCTTGCGCCGCTCGGTGCTCTCGCTGTATGTGTGCGACGAAGTCCAAAACAACGTTATTGGGTTCCCCACCCGGTTGAGAGGCGCAGATCGGGCACACCTTGAGAAAGAAAAATTCATTCATCATACTCAGAAACACCAGCGCTCAGCTGATCGCGAACAGATGTCTAGGAGCTGGTCGGCGCGGCTTCGGATGCGTAGGTGAGATCCAACAGCGAGCGAAATTATCACAAATTGTGGATAATCTCGCGAGTATCGGCCCTGATCGATGTGATGCTCACCACTTCAGTTGCAAGATCCGCGTGCTCACAGCACACATGGTCGTATAAGGTTGCTTCCGTCAGGCCCATTTTCGCGCAGTAGGGACAAGTCAGTGATAACGGAACTTCTGATTGAAGCGATGCGCTCTCTCCCTGGTAGTAAAGTTCGTACTCTGCTCTCGGAAGCATACACTGCATGGCGTGCGACGACAGATGTCTCGCGCTAAAATACGGACATTGAAACATTACCATTTGACAATCGATAATCTCGAGCGGCGGCGCCGACTCGTTTCGATACGCGATAACTGGTCACGATGTGGAGCTCAAGACGTTCGACTCTTTGAGGCCGAGAGCTCAAGATGGATGATTTCGGACTTCATCGATTGAAAAATTCACCTCGTCTCCGTGGCGGACTCAGGGCCGACTTACCTCGTCGCTCCAGTCTCGAAACAGCTGCCGCACAAGTCATAGTCATAGCATACGAGACATTTGTAACGCCGTCCTTTGAAATTGCTGCGGAGACATGAGTCGCAAGAAACGCCTGCAATTCGAACGGGAAAGAAGAGATTAGGTGGGATCTGGGGTGTCGTAGGTTCTCTCCTGTGAAATGCCTCTCGCTGAAACGAATCCACGACGGTCGACAACCTGGGGCATTCGATTTCAGCACGGGCAGCACCAAGGGCGATGCGTCGGAGTTGGACATCGCGGAAGCACCGGGGGTATTCGAATCGTCTCGTGTGTATCTGATCGGATAAGAATACGACGAGCGACCATGTATTTAGCAGAAGGACGTAAACAAGAAAGCGAAAAGACGACCTATCAGTGATCCCTGGCCTTTTGCAATCCGAAATGTCATCCTGCCGGGACAACGTCGTTGTCCGAGGGGTCGAGGTGTTGACAGGAAGAAATTTGGTGACCTATCGCTCGTTCTGCCGGACCGATGCCCATGCGCACAAATTTTATTCTGATAATAACTCGCCGATATGGAGGAACCATTTCATTTGAAAGCGTGTGAACGATCCAGAAGGAGCCGTTTCCTAAATGGAGAGCTTCCTGCACGGGAAATTCTACACGGGCTCGTCGCATGTTCGATTCTCATCGGCGAGGCGACAAGCTATCCAGAACGCTCCCCTGCCTTCATACGGACCCGGGCGAGGAGCTCCATCGGCCATGGGGTTATCCACGGGGTTGCCAGAGTTCGCGAGAAGGATTCGTCCGGCGAGTGAGATCACGTCGTCGCATGCGCAACTGCCTTAGACGAGTCTCTGTCCCTTCATGGTTCTCTTGTTGACCTACCCTCATGCCGAGACATTTCTGAGTTGTTCCGCTGTGTGCACCATGTACTTCGAGTGTCCGAAGTCTTTGGCGCAACTTCTCAATGCTTCTGGAGACAGTTTGCCGAGGTCAGCAACTCGATGCGCTCTTCCCGATACAAAGAAACTAATAATAATTATTGCAGAGCCCAAGCACAAGAAACATAACACTGTGTGTCGGTAAAGAGAAGACCAAGTGGCTGCTACAAGCAGAGAGCCGCTCCAGAGATGGGCCGTCACGGGGAAGTCTTTATTCGAATGCTGTCATCTCACCAGACTCGCTTTTCTGAAAGCTGAAGGCTCACAGCGGCGGCTCTCTTCCCTGTCGGCTTTTCCGCGGCGCATGCGCTAAAGAATACGCTGACTGAGTCTACGCCGGCGCGCGAGTTCGAATGCCAGAGCTGAATGGAGTGCCCTTCTAGCTGTTGTAGGACCTCAAGTCGGGACCACATGGCTAAATCAGTAAAATCCGGTTCGAAGTTCCATTTCGAGTGCAGGATTAACCCGATCGATTCCGAAAACATCAATCGCCAGAGAAGCGCGAACATTGAGGAGCGGTCGGAGAATGACGGCTGAAACGATCGAGGATCGTCCTCTCGACCGCGATCATAGATTACTGTCACCCCTCATTCAACTTCGCGTCGGTCGTGACGGTCATGAGATAACTATCTTCGTCTTTTTCCCGTCGCTCTCATTAGAGATCACGGTACGCGAATGAGGAGAAGCAAATGACTATTGTGACGTTCCGATAACGAAGGGCAGGAATGATGCCCAGCTTTATTGCTAGATCTGGTATTTATACCCGATGGCGTTGACATCGCCAGCGCATCAATCGGACACGCAACCGGCCTTGGACGTCCGCGACCGGAAAGGTCGGAGATCTTTCGCATTGAGGGTCCGGAGCGATGAGCTCCGCGTCGCAGATCTTGAACCGGGAGCGGTTGCGACGGAGCAAGCCTCGGGGGTTCTCCCGGCAGAACTGCGGTGAACCCAAAGAGCAATTGGAACGGCGTTTTGCGTAGCGACTCGCTGGGCGACGTATTAATACAGAAAGCGATCTTCGGGAGGAGATCGGGTACTGACGTTTCCCCCTCCATAATCAAAGCTGTCAAGCGATCCTTCACAGTACGAATGGTCCGTTCCACTAGACACTAGATGATGGACTAGGGGTGTCCCTGTCCTCAGGGCTCAATGCGAACCGCAGCTCCGCGCTTATGGTGAATCCCGGTGAAGGGATATTCCCAGCGTGAACGTCTGCCAGAGCTTGTTCTGGAAAAGAAGAGAACGAGGAATTAGGTACTATCTCAACATAAGAATTTCTGAAGATTTTCCGATATCCAACATTTTCGTTCTCGCGAGCGAGCGATTTCCAACGAGCTACGAAATTGAGGTGCGCACAACCTCAGTTTGAAATATGTATCTTCATTCATCATATCTCATATCCTAGAAGAGTTCATATTAATTATTCTTGAATCGCTGTCGGCCCGCTGAATCGGACGCAACATTCTCGCAGAGTCCTGGGGAGCATGTGAATGACTGATCTCTCGATTGCCAGAAGCTTCAGAAAGGGATATCGGATGAAAAGAAGAGACCAGAGCACAGGCCGGGAACCTTTCAGTCGACAAGACTTTTCCCGCTCAAACGACTCGCCTGCCCTATTTATATATTGATATATTAATTTCGTCGCTATGTATGACAACTCTCCGGGAAGGTGTCCTGGGCAGTGTCGTTTGACAGACTATTTCGACACGTCGCGTCGCCGCGGCGTGCTCATGCAGGTAGAACAGAGCTGAGTCGGTGAGAAGTTGAGGCCATTTCTCTTTGACACACCAATAGATTAGGATAGACTCGAGTGCGACTATACTGCACAGAAGGAAAATACACTTGGGGACATCACCTAATTCAATGGCAGCGAAGAGAGAGCTAGTTAGATTTGGCATCGGTGGGTATATCCTCCTCATGACTGCAAAGCTTCGTCTATCCGTCGTCCTCTCGACAACAACCCTCGGAAACATTGACGCTTACACGGGAGGGATAGAAGAAGAATAAGAAGAAAGAGGGCAGGGAAGGGTCCTCTCATCAGTCATAGTCTATAACTACCTACTTTGAAGCACGTCGAAAACCTGTGCTCAAGTATTCAAGTAAAGTCGAACCAATAAGTGAACCTATCATAAAAAACTATTCACACACGGCGTTAGCGCTGTTCGAAATGGAGATATCACCGATTGCGTCATACGGAATCCAGCTCATGTGGGACAAGATGACACCGGACCAACTCGAGAGGCTCGATAAACTGAAGACCAGTTTCCTTAAACGGGCACTCAGCGTTCATCGATCATCGAGAAACAGACTTGTGTACCTGCTCACCGGAACCAAGACGATGACGGAACAGTTAAAGGACCAATTTGCGCTGAAGGAAACCCCACAGTTCGAAGCACTACGGACCCGTTGGATTGAAAAATTCAGCGAAGTAGATCTGACCTTTTGGGAACTACCAGCGATGAAAACAGAGTGGTGGAAGGGTCCGAAATCTGCGCAAAGACATCGACTCACACGTGGAGCGATGCACGGATACCATCACTTGATATGCACGAGAAGACAAAACCACGACGTCGACGACGATTGCACTTGTACTCTCTGTGGCGAGACGTGTGAGACATACCACCTGTACAACTGCCACCAGGCAGACAAATTTGACTGGGAGCTCGAGAGGGCCCAACTACCGTAGTTTCAAACATGTATACACTGATAACTGTGATATAGAAAACCAACTACTCCTAAACATAGGAATAAATGTCTTTCAATCTTCGAAATAAAAAACTATTCACTCTGCATCGGCGCTATGAGGTCGATGTGAACGGCACCGGCGGCTAAGCTGTGATTCAAAAAATCTCGTGCAGGTCGACGCGATCTCAAATTCGAACACAATAGGTCTGAGCATCCGGCTGACTAGGCGCTCGGCCGGACCGACATTCGGTGCCGACGGACGAATCGACCGATGGATAGACGGACGGAAGGAAGCAGGATGTCCTATTCTTTCCATCGGGCACCAACTTTCTCGGAGCGCCTTCTTTCTATCACTATGTAGTACATTCCTTCCAGCTGTTTGCCTGGAGCTCCAATGTCATTATATTGTAGTCAAGGTTTGTTGCTATCGTGACCTACATACGCCGGTACTGGCGGCGCGCCGCCAGTACCGACGCAAAGAAAGGTTTCTTCATTTACTCACCGAAATTTGTTTTCATGGCGTCCATGATTTGGAGCATGCCCTCGATGGTCTCGAAGCGGTCACTCGTAACTCCTGGCACGACAAGGCCCTTGTCCATCTCACGTGGTGAGATTCATTGCACGTTATGCTCGCTCAAGTATTTCTTAAATCAGTGGTTCCCAAACTTTTTCCTCTGCGGAACCTCTAGAGGTTCCGCAGAGGTTCCGTGGGTAGCTTTTGGGGTTTCGCGCACCCCGCCACGGAACCCAAGGGTTCCACGGAACCCAAGGGTTCCGCGGAACCCCGTTTGGGGACCTCCGTCTTAGATCACAACCGCAAGCAAGTGAGAGCTCGAGGCGCGTATCTGGAGAAACTTGGGAGAAAGTGGCGCCACTAAGATGGCGCTGCTCGGTTGTTGGAAACTACCGCCGGCCGCCCTCAATATGGCGTCTTCGGTTTGTACGCCCGTACGCTTTTTACGGCGTACTTTTGTACGCTTGTACGTATGCTGAGGATAGCGTACAATTGTACGTATGTTTAGTCCATGGGAGGTGCGTACAAGAAAAACGCGGCGTAAAATTCCACAAAAATGGAACCTCACCATGGGGGAGGGTACACGATGAGACTAATGATCTTTGCTGAATATTTGACAGTGATCAGGCGGTCCCCTCCACATTTTTTCGGCTCGGATTTTCAGACATGCCGCATCACACGGGATTACGCAGTATAACGAAGCATCCCCTGGTGTAATAGAATTCATCTAGGTGGCTAGGTATCTAGGTAGCTCCCCCCCCGCGGCAGTATCTCCAATCCCATCTCCTGGATCTAGAATCAGATCCCCAGGCTCCACTCACGGATACGAGCAGCCCATCAGAATCGTCCGCGTCG